TTCACTCTAGCCTGGGCGCCAGAGTGAGATTCTATGTCTCGTAAATAGGTTATTCAAGAACTAGCACATCAGTGATGGCACATAAACTGCATGCACTGGAGTTCTTACTGCTTTTCAGTCCACAGAGCAAGGAGCAACTGTGTGAAGTCCAAAACACTCTTCATCATCAAGACTTGCCTCTAGGTGGCCCCGGACTCCTTGGCCCATACTCAGGTCAGCCAGGTTAATCAGTGCCTCCTATGGCCATTAACCCGACCCTTCCTCAGGGCCAGGGCAGCTCTATATGTGGCAATCTTGACAAGCCTTGTCCCTTCCTAATGATTCAGACAATGTGGGGCAAGGGAAAGGAGGCAATCGAAAGAAAAGTAGCACTTGAGCAGGCTCAGCCCGATGGTTCTTGCATTTCTTCTGTTGGTGTCACCCTTGCCCAAGTTACCAGACTTCTTTGCATCCTTTGACTCGTCTGTGAAATGGACTGACTTCTACTTTGCAGAACTCAGTAACAGAATCAATGTGGCCCAGCCTTAGTGCCGGGCACTCAGTTTCTTCCTGCCTCACCTTTTTAAAAAAATTTTTTGAGACAGAGTCTTGCTCTGTTGTCCAGGCTAGAGTACAGTGGCGTGATGTCAGCTGACTGCAGCCTCCAACTCCTGGGATTGAGCAATTGTCATGCCTCAGCCTCCCGAGTAGCTGGTTATAGGTGCCCGCCACCACCCTGGCTAATTTTTATATTTTTAGTTGAGATGGAGTTTGGTCATATTGGCCAGGCTGTTCTTGAACTCCTGACCTCAAGTGATCTGCCCACTTTGGCCTCCCAAAGTGTTGGGATTATACACGTGAGCCACTGGGCCCAGCCCCTGCCTCACTTCTCAGTCAGGAAGTTACAAGTAAATAAACAGCACATAGTTTCTTTTTTAATAACAAATGTCTAAATGTTCATTACCTCTGCCAGATCCTGTTGCAAAGTGTTCCAATCTGAAACAGTAGAGTAAAAACCATTTGTCATTACATTTTAAAAGAAAGGTGAGGGCAGGGGCAGTGAAGACCTTTAAAGACAAATGCACGGGAAGAGGACCGGTTCCTAATGTGTGTTCAGAAAGCACTCACTGGCTGTGATTATTTCTTTGTGGCTGGCCTAGCACCAAAATGCCTTGTGCAGTGAGTCACCATGAACAGCAGGTTACAGTCAGCTTTAGGTTATCTATGGTGATGCAGAAAAGCACACCCAGGCAGTGGTAAATCTAAGAAATTCTATTTGGGCTCTGGTATGCATTTTATATATGTGCATTTTCTTTTTCTTGGCAGGCAACTTACCTTCTTAATTATATTTCCCTTAGGCTATTATTAAAATGAGTCTACATTCCCCAAGCACACCCCACTGACAGCCAAGGGCAGGCAACCCATAAGTGACAGGGTAAGATCTACCTGGTATTTAGTGTTTGAAAATACACAATCAGTAAATCTGTATGTAGGTCTGTACACACACACACACACACACACACACACACACACACACACACACGTCTTCTAATCCTAATTGCAAGAAGCACAGAAATTAAGAATAACATGGAGTGGCAAGAAAGTTATTGCCAAAGGCTTCCCCAAAGACCAGAGAAGAGGATCATAAAAGGCTCCTGGGGTCATCACACACATACCTTTATCTTTACTCTTTAACCACACTAGTTATCTTTCATCAGCTTTTACCTAGAGATTGATGTCTAAAGATCTTTGTCTTTCCAACAACCCTGTGCTTTTTATCAGAATTCCTAACATTTAAGAAATGTCAAAAGTAGAATGGAATGTCCATTTAATTGCACATGTGGACACTCATGCTGAGGAATTCATTTCTTTAGATTTTACTGAACTCAGAAGTCTCTTCCAACACTGATTCATAAAAATTCAACTTTACAAGAAAACTGAAGTTGGAACAATCTATTTGCATATTCTCATGACTCAACCATTGGACGCAGTAACCAAGATCTAGTTACACATTTTCCTAGTACCCTCAGCTCCATCCTTTGTGGTGGTTGATGCTGCTTCAAGGCACCTGGGCTTTTGGAAGCATTAAATGTACTTCAAGGCCAGTGTGGTGGATCATGCCTGTAATCCCAGCACCGTGGAAGGCCAAAGCAGAACTGCTTAAAGCCAGGAGTTGAAGACCAGCCTGGGCAACATGGCGATACCCTGTCTTCACAAAAAATAAAAACAATAGCTGGGTATGGTGGCGTATGCCTGTAGTCCCAGCTAGTTAGGAGCCTGAGGTGGGAGGGTCACTCAAGCACAGGAATCCAAGCAGTGAGCTCTGCAACCTGCAACTCCCGGGTTCAAGAAATTATCATGCCTCAGCCTCCTGAGTAGCCTGGGTGACAGAGTAAGACCCTGTCTCAAAAAAAGAGAATACTTTATTCTAATAGAATATGAGTAAATTCCAGATGACATTAGCTCCTGTGAACCATTCTTAAGCACGAACAGCGGTACTAATGTGCTGTGTTCTGAAAGGATCTTCCCAACTGCTTTGGCCAATGTCTTCTGCACTGGTGATTATATGAAAAACGACCAAAAATAAACTTTAACACAAACAGAGAGCATTCAAATGGTGCACTCTGGGGTTATAGTGCTATAATGCCGAACTGTTCCTCACTCTATTCAATGTTTGTTTCTTGAAAAACTACTTAGATTAATCTGGGCCAAAATGTAGTAAAACACAAAGTTTGCTACCACTGAGAAGCCATGCCTTTAGAATAGGAATCCTAAACTTTATTACTGATCTGTATCCTTAGAGTCTCCTATTCTCAATATTCAAAAAACTAACCCGAAGAAATAGGACATCATCAGGAAACAAGACGCTGGAGAGGCTTTGGAGAAAAAGGAACACTTTTACCCTGTTGGTGGGAGTGCAAATTAGTTCAACTATTGTGGAAGACAGTGTTGCAACTCCTCAAGGATCTAGAACCAGAAATACAATTTGAACCAGCAATCCCATTACTGGGTATATACCCTAAGGATTTATAAATCATTCTACTGTAAAGACACATGCACACGTATGTTTATTGCAGCACTGTTTACAATAGCAAAGACTTGGAATCAACCCAAGTGTCTATCAGTGATAGACTGGATAAAGAAAATGTGGCACATATACAGCATGGAATACTATGCAGCCATAAAAAAGAATGTGTTCATGTCCTTTGCAGGGATGTGGATGAAGCCGGAAACTATCCTTCTCAGCAAACTAACACCAAAACAGAAAACTAAACACCACACGTTCTCACTCAAAAGTGGGAGTTGAACAATGAGAACACATGGATACAGGGAGGGGAACATCACACACTAGGACCTGTCAGAAGGTGAGGGGCTAGGGGAGGGATAGCATTAGGAGAAATATCTAATGTAGATGATGGGTTGATGGGTGCAGCAAACCACCATGGCATGCATATACCTATGTAACAAGCCTACACGTTCTGCACATGTACCTCAGAACTTAAAGTATAATTTTTTAAAAAAATTAAAAAAAAACTAAATTGGACACTATAAGCATAAAATGCTACGTTTTAGCTGGGCATGGTGGTTCATGCCTATAATTCCAGCAGTTTGGTGGGCCGAGGTGGAGGCTCACTTGAACCCAGGAGTTTGAAACCAGCCTAGCTAATATGGCAAAACCCTGTCTCTACTAAAAATACAAAATTAGCTGGGTGTGGTGAGGCACACCTGCAATCCCAGCTACTCACGAGGCTGAGGTGGGAGGATCACTTGAGCCAGGAAGTGGAGGTTGCCATGAGCTGAGATTGTGCCACTGCACTCCAGCCTGGGGGACACAGGGAAACTTTGTCTCAAAAAAACAAAACAAAATGCTACCTTTTATATGACAAAAAAGGGTAAACTTCTATTTATATTAGCTTGCACATGCATAAAGAAACTTTGAAAGAAGACATATACAAGTAACTAGTAAGAGCTTACTTGGGTTGTGGGGACAACTTGGCAGATGGAAGCAGGAATGGGAGGAAAATTCACTAAGTCTCTTGATATATGTTCTGGTTTTTAAACCCTGTCAACATATTACCTAATTAAAAACTAAGTAGACAAGTAAATATTATTTGGCATGTGGCTCATTGATGGAATAGAATTCCTGTTACCAAATGTTACGTCTCAGATATTTTTCACATGCATAAAAATGAATTTTAGAAAAATTTTAGGAGTTAAAAAGTAGAAACTGAACTTGTGAAGTGTATCATGGCATGCAGTTATATTTTTTCCCATGAAGTTCAAAGTCAGAAGAGATTTGTGAGTACTTTGTTGTTTCAAAAAAGTAAGAAAGTTATATTTGGCTTTGCAGTGACATTACATGTGTGTGCGCGCGCACACACACACACACACACACACACACACCTTCCTCTAGTAGATAAAACTCTTAGTATTTTGCCATTGAAAATAATGGCAAAAACCACAATTACTTTTGCACCAACCTAATAACTTACTACCTTTTAGCTATGTAAATAGATATCTACCCTTTAGCCATGTAAATAAATAGATTCTGCTAATAAAGGGCAAGCAGAAGTTTGAATAGCACCATTCATACCTATTTTTGATTCTGTAATCACAAATGATAAGTTTTACTTCATGTGAACGGTTAGGTTTTGAACACTCAGTAACTAAACTTTAGAAATTTACGTCAATTCTTCTCAGTGTCTTTTAATGAAAGTAACAGGTGCTAGTTAAGATTTTTGAAATAAAATATAAATCTAAGAGTTGTAAAATGTTTCTTTAAGGTACAGAGTAGGTGATGTGTTTCAAAGAAAAATAATTTATAAATGACTTTGTAAAACACAAGCCCTTCACATGCTGTTAACTTTGGAAAAGTCAGGTCTTCTCCTAACAAGGCTTTTATTCTACCTCATACTCCAAACTCCTAAGGTTTTAAAATATTCAACTTGCCTTTCTTCTTTTTTAGGGAGCGAGTGTGAGCTTGCCAGTTGGTTAGAAGCCAAGAGTTATCCAGTCAGACCTGAATGGAAAAATCTATGATTTGTTTATTTCATAGTTCAAGTTCAAAAGCAAGAGACAATTTAAATAATAAAAGAGTAACAGGAAAAAATGCAAAGAAAGAAAACAATTCAGTAAGAGTACAGAAGAACCTTCAAGAATATTTAATTCGGAAAATGTTATTGGTTTAGAGAACCTGACTGAAAGAAAACAGCTGGGCAGAGTTCAAGGTTTTAAATTAAAAACAATCTAACAAGGTCTACGAGGATAACTCTCTGAGCCATATTTTGAAGACCAGATTCATTTCTACCAAGTAAAAATAATAGCAGTCTAAGCTAAAAAGGAAATTCCTCACAACTGAGGTAGTTACTAAGTATCAGCACATTTTCCAAGTTCTCACAAGGCCCAGTAGCTATTTACAATCTATTTTTCCTCATATATAAATGGAGTGCCTTTTCAATTTTATGTCTTCTGTGATTTGTTTAAAAAAAAAAAAAATCACTTATACGAACCAGCCAGAATATGCCTATTTTATTAACATCATGCTTTAATAAATAACTGGCTACTTCTAATAAAATTAAGCCTCTGTTTACAACAGCCCCCAATATTCCATTTTGACCACTCTGCAGAATTTGGTGTAAAAAGTTGAATGAAATGTAGACCCTGAGCTAACAAGTAATTATGTTTCAATATAAAAATAGAGAATTACTCTTACAAATGAAATTGAACAATAACACAAACAACCTCTTTGTGGGTTCAGTAAAATCAGTTGGGATCTTAATGGCTGTCTAAAGCAGGAAGAGACTTGCAGAATTTTAGTCTTTCTGAAGACTTCTGGGAACTCCTTTGAAAGTGATTTGTTACATTCTCAGAGTTTTATGAGCTATCATTTGGTAAGGACACAAGGCAGGGGTTCCCAAGGGGCCAAGGCAGTTGTTACTCTTTGGCCTGGGACAATAGATATGGCCATGGCCTTTGCCAGTTCACCCACGTGGCTAAAGGTCACTGCTAAGATGTAGTCTTCTCAGCTCTACCTACTCCCACCCCACCCCACCCCCTAGGAAAAACAACACATACAAAAATCTGGACACCTAGTTCTCCCCTAAGTGGGCTACTTGGTTGATACCGTGGATCGAAACACATTGCTGTGAACCATGGCAATTCCTTTGTTTTACTGATAACAGGGGGCTGGGTGAGAAAAAGACTCAAATGAGATACCTTATACACTCTTAAAGACTGGGTTCCCAAAACAAATGCAGATATACATGCACAGACAAAACTTTGCCCAAGTGTTGACAGCTATTCCCTGAGCCCAGGCTGTACCCCAGTTCTGGCTAGCTCCCAGACAGCTCCCTGTACAGAGGTGGGTTTGAAATCTAAACCACTCTAATAAGGGGGATCAAACGAGATTGTAGGTCGCTTACTGCTGCCACTGGGATATTAATTCAAACAGAGTCAGTGTGAACGTGAAAACTAGCACATGGTGGAGTAGCTAACCTGCCTGGTTTTTAAAACACTCCCAAACCCAAGTGTGAACATGTGAGAACTGGGATATCCTGAATACCTTCTATCTTTCAAGGGGGATGCTATCTAGACTCTTTTTCTAAATGGGTTACATTTTAAGTATAAGTGGGTTCAAGAAATGGACCTATAGTAATCTTAGCTTATGTAATTCAACTCAGTCAAAGCAGTAGTCTGCAGTCTCTTCCAATTACCAGCTATAAATGAAGTAAGTATAACCTTCTTCTTGGATTGATGCTTTGAATACAATCTGACAAGTGGCTCAGAAGCCTGCTTGTGCCCTCACATTCTGTCCTAACTTAATAATAATTAAAAAAAAAAAAAAATCACCTCCACGTCTCTCCAGATAAGGCAACTAAAATAACAGGGAGAAATGGAAATGTTACTGCTTGTTGGGCTTTTTCTTTTAATAAGATAACATGATAAATAAAACCTGCTTCTGTACAGCTATTTAATATTTCAGAAATACGTACATGTTACATGCCAAGAAAGGACCCTGGTTTGCTTGTAAGAAACAAGGCGAGATCATAGTTGGAAAAAAAAAAACCCAAAACGAAATGAGAAACAAACAAACAAACAAACAATAGAGTGATAAAGTCACAAATGCACAACTAACTATAGTTCTGTACCTACACTGTTAGCCACGTTTAACATGGTTTGAGGGACAAGAACCAACTCAATGTACAGTCCCTTTTCCTCCCAAAACTGAATGGAAAAACAAAGTCAGCATTTCTTAAACCAGTGGCCACATAGTAAAAACTGTACATTGTTGTCCATTCATTTAAAAAGCAAAGTCACTAGGATGGTAGAAAAGTGGTAACTGGTGCCTTTTAACTTTTTGATGGTGAACACTTTTTCTCAGGGTTTGAGAATTATCTCCACTCTCTCTGCATAACCAGAAACAAGATGCAGAAGACAGTGAGGAGGTAGGCCTGTGTCCCAGGACGGACACCAGCACTGTCGGCGTTCTCATTGGCACTCTTCCCAGAGTGGTCGGTGGCATTGTAGTCAAACTCCGAAGGGCACTGCTGATACTCACAGCCACTTCCACTTCCTTCTCCACTACTTTCATCACCTAGTTAAAAAAAAGATGGAATAGAGATTTCATTCCACTTATTCTCATCAGAATGCATACAAGAGCAATTTGTACTTTCAAACTGCAAATGCTTACTGATATCAAAGAAGTCCACATCGTTCCCATTGTATGCATTCTTCATCTTGCTGGTCATCGCCCGAAGAGCCATGATTTGACGAAGGATCAGTATGTCTGGTTTGCTGGTATCAACCTGGACTTCTGGGTTGCTGCCCTGGTTGGCTAATCCATTTCCTGTCACTGCAAACAGGTACCTGGAATGTCAAATGACCCCAGTAAGATGATTTGTAAAGCAAAAAGCAAGAGTATTATCAAATATTTCTGCTAGATTCTGGTATTTCCACTAAGCAAAATCAGATGGAAGTTCTTCAATTCCTAATGAACTGTAATCTTTCCTGTTCCTGTGGATGTCTCGTTTCTCCATTTTGATGGAAACCTTCTTGAAAGTTATCCCAGCACTTTTGGAGGCTAAGGTGGGTGGATCACTTGAGGTCAGGAGTTCAAGACCAACCTGGTCAACATAGTAAAACCCTGTCTCTAGAAAAAAAAATATAAAAATGAGCTTGGTGTGGTGGTGTGTGCCTGTAATCCCAGGTACTCAGAAGGCTGATGCAGTAGAATTGCTTGAACCCAGGAGGCAGAGGTTGCGCCACTGCATTCTAGCAGCCTGGGTGACAGTGAGACTCTGTCTCCAGAAAAAAGAAAAAAAGGCAAGAAGGAAACCTATCCCTTTTGAGGAGGTTGGTGGGTTGAAGTAAAGAAGTATAGGTACTTCTCTAAGTTAACTGAGTGTCTAAGGGAAGGACACAGGGCATCAAGTCAGAGAATGGGACCTTTGAGAACTGGCATTTTATGAGGCTAGGCCATTGGGCAAAGAGCCACAGGCATTAAATATTTTAAAAATAATGACACTATTGGAAAGTTCCTAATACTAGACTGTAACTACTGTCAAACTTTGGACTCAGCACTCTTTGTAAGTAGCTAGGTGCCTTCTCAACAGTCCTAGTGCAAAGCCAGTTCCTGAGAACCCCTAGAAGCCTTCCATGTTGTTGCTACCTCCTGTGAATTGCTTCCTGATGCCTTGGTTGACAACTGAGAGAACCATCTCTGAAGGTCACGCAGGCATCTAGGAAGGGAGAAGCTGCAAATCCATTCAACAGACACTAACCTGCTTTTGCCTTTCCCGTTCCAGCAGTCATCCTCATTGCTGTTTCCTGCAGCCATCCTTTCATCATTGCAAACGTTGCTCGGAAGGGAGGACCAGAATTTCTTGGCCTGTTTCAGTTTCTCCTTGACATCAGTAACCTAATTATGAAACAACAAAAAAAGATCATTGCAAGACAAGACAAAACTATCTACAAATGTGCCTTCTGACCATTTCCAAAGTATCTCCAGAGTGATATGCTATTCATTTTCAACTTTAGTTAGAAGAAGAAGATGTAGCTCCAATTTATATCTTAGAAGTACAAAACCACTCAAATGAATAGTTGAAATGCAAGCTCCGAAGGAGTGGCCTAGACCCCTTGTCCACTCAACTTCATTGTAAGTACTATCTGAGGCCTACCAGGTTCCATGCCCTGTAGGCACAAAGATAAGATGCGGTCTCTTCTCCCAAGGCTTTTAGAGTCAGGGAAACATAGCTGCTATTGCTCTTTCCATCCCTGTCTCCTCAGGCTCCCTCTTCTGTGTTCCTACTACTATAGGAATACTTACTTAGATTTTTGTAGCATATTACTGTGGATAAAGCAATTTGCCTGCAGTTATTCACTCTTCTCCCACCTCAGCATTTACTAAACATCATTTTATGTTAATAAGCCTGGAACATCTACTTCTCCCTCTTGGCCTCCTTGTTGATGCCCTTTGAAAACAAGGACCTGTCTTATTTCTCTAAGCTTCTCTGTGCCTAGCACAGTGATGGGCACATAATAGATGTTCAGTAAATGAACAGTGAATCTAAAGAGAAGTTTTGAGACAGGACTTATTGCATCACAACTCCTTGACTACCCAGGAACTTTCTGAGCTAGAAAATGGGACAGGCAGATTGACTGACATCCACATCCTATTTGCTCAAAAAGTGACATGCGAAAGACCCACACTTGTCAGCCTTCCAGCTAAAAATTCATTTTGAGCAAGAGTTTTCAGTTCTTTGTCATCAAACACAGCCCTTCCTGCCAAAATGCTCACCAGTCGGTCCAAACTAGTGCCAGCTGCTGTGGTTGGGCGTTCCTCCGGGTGATGTGGTCTGAAGCGAGCACTGAAGGCACTTTCAGAGATGGAACGAGAAACTCGTCCAGCTGGGAGGGGCTTGGGGGGTCCACATCCCTGGAAAACCTGCATTGGAGTAAATGTGGTCATGTTAAGGAAGTCACATCCCAAGGCAGGGGGGTGGGGGGTATCTCCAGCTCCCCTTTCCAGCATCCTGCCTTCATTACCTTCTGAGACACTTGAACACTATTATCCTGCATGTTCATAATAGCATCAGAAATCTTCACATCGATGGGATCCATAACTGATTCAATGTTGAAAGGACCCTCTAGCCTCTCTGCCACCATCAGCATAGCATCTAATATGAGGTTTGGGGAAAAACAATACAGCATACAAAGTCAATCATTAGTTTGGCCTCGGGTAAATCGGTCTGATTATTTTGTACCTGTCTGTTTCCTGCATCACGCATCATAATGAAATCTTGTTTTTACATCTATTTCCTTTACATCAAACTACATTTAGTCACTATGTCTCACTAGCTCTCTAAAGTGTGAAATGGCCAGATGAAGGCTTAGTTCTACAGCAAGTAAACCCAATCAGGAACCTCCCTCTATACTGATTATTTGTGTGTCGGCCACTGTTATTGTAAGGGTCTTAGTTAGCTCCCAGATGACAAACCTAAGGCTGGAGGCAAAATGACATGCCAGTTCTCCCAGAGACTTCCCTAAGATCTTCTTATTTCAGATTGAATTTACAAGAGTCAAAAACATAAATCAGTTAAGATGCTGGCATAGTAATTCTTTTCTTTCATTTATAAAAATAAAATGCCTCAGATCCTTGAGTGTACCGTTGTAAAATACAAATGAAAGGATTCCTAGGAATTCTAATGAATTTTCAAATAATGAAACTTTGAATAATGCAATTTTTGTATTAAGAAGAACTTCTCATTTCAAATACAAGGGTCTCAATTTATCTTAAAGTAAAGCATGTACCTCCTTTTTTTTCCCCAAGTCAAAAGATAACACAAGACACAGTACACAGAATTAGTGGGCTCACAGTATATATCTCACCGATTATCCTGCAAGTTACTTTTAGACTTTGGAGTAGCCTAGCATTTTCCAGTAAGCATTGAATCACTTCAATAAAATACATTGTCTTTGTTTTCTTGCCATACATGTTTCTTAGGATTACGAGGCTTAGTAATTTTGCCTGCTACCTGTTGTACAAAACTAGAAGAACTTGGAAATGAAAACCCCAAATGACAAAAAGGATGCTTCACTAATGACAGTGAACTTTTAAACTTGCTTATCCCCCCTTTACACTCTAGTGCTTAGTGCATGGCAAAAAAGGAGTTAGACCCACATTATCTATCACCTTCAGGTTGTACAAGGATGGCTACTAGAAAGAAGGGCTAGTTTCCGGAAGATTGTGTCCCTCCCAAAGAATACCGCTGCAGCCCCCAGCTGAGCTTCTACCTAAGCTTTTTGCTGGAAAGGAGCATAGGCATCAGCATATCAATGAAACCAAACCTGGTCATCAACATTTCACCTTCAACCTAGAACAAATCCTACGCAACATTCTAATACACGGTGTCATTTCTCTAAACTACAATTCCAATGTCACAAACCACAAACAGATTTCCATGAAATGCAATTTTTAAAACAGTTAATAACAAATGAAGTTTCAGATTGCATTGTGGTAAGCGCCAATCAAGTGATGTTTCTAACCTCTAAGTAAGGGCTAAAAGCATGAATATACCATTATACTAGGAGAAAAAAATGCTTTTGATGTGCTAGCAAAAGTAGATTTTTTGTAAACAAGTGGAGCACAACTTAAATGTGTTCATCTTTGTCAAATCATCAGGGCTGCCACGTACAGAAATACATTCCTTTGTAAGCTGAGAAGAAAATCACCTGCTCCAAATAAAAATATTATGAATAGACAGATAATAAACATCTAAAATGGAGATGTTTAAATAACAACAACAACAAAACCCAGTGCATTTTGTAACTCCTCATTCCCCTAGTGGTGAGGAATGGCCAGATCAGTCATGTGTTTGTGAAAGACTGAAAGGAAACATAAACCCCAATTCTTCTGGCTTTTTGGTGTCTTTGTAAACTCTGAGCCAGCCGGCTACACACAAGGGCCTGGGAATGGAGGGGGAAGCTGGGCCTTTGTTGGGGCCGGTGCTATGGCGTTGCATGTTGCACAGCTGAAGAACGCGACTGAAGAGCGTTCTGCCTGCAGTCTGCAGCCCAGGAGCCAAAGCTGCCTCTAACCCCTGGAGGAAACCATGATTGGCTATCAATTGGCTCTTCTGTAACAGCAGCCAGCCCTGATAAGAAGCCTCAAGAGAAAGCCAAAGATGATTGGTTTGGAGTCTGGGTTTTCTTCTGGCTGATATAAGCCCCGGGGGCCCTTGTTTGTGGGATATCCGACTGGCTCCTGCCTCCTGCCAGGACCTGGCTGGTGTCTCCGCCAGCAATCCCAATACTAAATTCCCACTGGCAGCAACCTGTGACATTAATAGGGTTGGCTCTGAGTCAAATGAATGTTAACACAGCTACAGTATGTGATGGAGAACAAGTTGCACCTTAGCATAATTTATGATTCTCCAGAAACTGACTTTTGTTGTTGGTGGGGGCAAGGGAGGTATTTGGTTTATTTTTCCAAGTGAAGGTTTCATATAAACGAGCCTCTTATAAAACCAAGTTCCAAGGTGTTTTAACTATTTGGATCCATCGTGATAAAAGGTTGACAAGACTTCAACATTGTCTCAATTCATGGCCATGCACACATGCAGCTAAGAGAGGAGAGGAAGGGCACTGGCAACAAGAAGACAGATTTGGAAAATCGGTTCATCCTTAGTCTCTTAAAGGGTCTAGTCCAACTGCATGATTTCACTGCTCAATACACTGGCACTGAGTTGCTCCCCACACCCCCAGCAACAAAGCATCCCCTTCTCACTAGAGAAAGCGATTCCTTTTGCATTGTGCCGCCAATAATCAGAAACCCACATCTTCAGCCTTGCGACCTGACTGGAAGAACAAAAGGCAGTTTCCTGACTTAACCCCAAGATCTGATTTAAAGAAGGGGGAAAAAGCCCTTGACCATTCATTAGCTGCAGTCATTTAAAGGGGAAAGAAAAATTCATTGCAAAGAGGAAAAAAAAAAGACAAGAAATAAAAAAGAATTTACAGCAGAGGCATGTAAATTGGGACTGAATTGTACAAGCACAAAGCAGATTAATTAAACCCTTGGGAAAATTTCATGAAAAAGCACTGGAGATTAACCATGTCTATTACTCCTGGTCTTTTATATCTGGTTATTAGAAATAAAGAATAGTATACCCATTAAAAGCAAAGTTTAGATACAATGATATACCTCATTCCTCCAAAAAGTTATCATTTAAAATAACTAGGAAAAAATCAATTCAGAAATCCTACCAACTTCTACTTGGGTTTAATTTTGTTTCTTCAGAGATGACAAGCATAATTTAAAAAGTGTACAACAAGAACCAACAACAGCAACTTAAGTCCTCTTTGTTTTAGAGTAACTGATTTAAAACATCGGTTAAAAGCCAGAGTGTGGTTTTGATTTGATATGGACCTTTATACTCTAGGAAAAATATGTAGGAGCATGTGTATTTTAATATAGGAATATGAGTTTAGTTATAGCTGCTGCTAGATACGTTAGAATATCAAAATGATGGCAAGGGCCACGCCCTTCTGCACTCCATTCCCAATGTGTCTGTAGTAATGTTAGCAAAACTTGATCACTGTCACATTTTTTGTACCATATGGCAAATTCTGCTCTTTTGCCTGGAGAAACAGTGTATTATAGTATGGTGAAACGGAAAAGAATCACCAACTTTCTTCAAAAAATCAATTTAGCAAAAGTGAACTGCAAACTTGACATTTGGGTGTGGGGATGAATGTGGGATTACAGATAGAGAGAAAAAAAAAAAAAACAGCAACTTTAGATCTGTAAATGCTATGGGTTTTTACTTCCATGAGAAATATTTTGAAGCAACAATTTCTCCCATGGCTTCATTCTGGGCATGACATGCCATTTGGCCTGTGTGTCTTTGCTGGTCTTATGCCTTCCCTTTCATGAGATTCTGCTTTTCTGTGTGTAGAAGATTTTTTCAGGTCTTCTAGCTTTGAGCTATTTAGGCTACAATTGTGCTGAAGTGCTTAATATTCACATCTTTTTTTTTCCCCTGTGTCAGTGTTCTTAAGAATCTGTTGGAGCCAATTTATTGATGCACTTTCAAACGGAGTTAATATGGTAATTAGCTCTCACACAGACTAAAAAGCATTCCCCAACCTTAACACCCCTCACCCCGCCANAAAAAAAAAAAAAAAAAGAACAAGCCAGCAAATTGCATGCATGTTCCCATGATTTGGACAAATAAGTGAAAAATAGGTGCTTATAAAGACACTCAAATTCGGCAATTATGCAGAGGTGACTGGGGTGGGGGAAAATGTGAGTTTCTTTTTGTGAGCACAAGGAACTTCAACACTGGTCACTGTTGTTTCAGGCATCAAGGTAACTGACATCTGGACATTTAAATTCTCCTTAATTTGTCCTTTCCCAGAAATCATAACTAACCCTCTCAGCAATTGGCCACTTCATTTACATTGCTGTCTGGGTTCCAAGAATGGTTTTCTAGGTGGAATATATATGCAGGAATACGTATCTCTTAAACTCTCGGAGCAAAAGTTCTTCCACTCTCACCAGAGCAGACTACTATTGCTAAATCATGTACAGAAACAGAATCCCTAAATTTCTCAATCAGATTTCACCTGATCCAAGTAACAAATGCATATCTGGCAGGTTTGCAGATTTGGTTGCAGTGTAACAGATACAACATTTTAAAAGCCACTTTCACAACTCCATGAGGACTGTACTCCAGCATTTACATGGATACAAGCCTTTAATGATAACCACAACAGACTTTTAGGGGGAAAATATAAAAAGTCACTTTCTTGGGGACTACTGGCTCATGCCTATAATCCCAGGGCTTTGGGAGGCCAAGGGCGGGAGGATCGCTTGAACCTAGGAGTTTAACGTTACAGAGAGCTGACTATGTTGCCATACTCCAACCCAGGTGACAGAAAGAGACCCTGTCTCCGAGAAATAGGCATTCTTTTGTTATAAAAACCTGGCAGCCACTGTATCTACTACCTTCAGAAATGCCACCATTAGTTCAAGGGGACATTTACGTGTAGTAATGTTTTTACTATACTCAAAGTAATTGAGCATAGTCAGGATTCTGACAAACACTAAATAACACTAAAACAAACAAATATCACAGCTGCCAATTACAACATTCCTTGTGACTGGAAGCTAAACTATCTCCAGCAACACAAACATGTTAATCACTTGCTCACCTATGAAATTGTTCCATTCAAAATCGAGATCCCCTTGGTTGGCCAAACAGCCTCTCATGATGTTTGAGCAGTAGTTGTAACATGGCTTCACTGTCACGAGACCCTGGCAGTGGGAGCAGTAGATCATCTTCAACAGAGCGTGGGTACACTGGGCTGTGGGGTTTACCTAATGTGCGAAAAGAAAAAAAAAGACAGTAGTGGTGGGGCCAAAGTAGAGACAGAAATTGTTTCTATCATGTTGACACTGAAGGCTTGGCCATGAACTTAATTTAAGTATGAGTTGTGATTGATCATAATTAGTAGGCCTGAACTGCCTCCTGAAGAGGTAGATTAAGATAACAGATACACATTGGGACAGGGGAGAGGAGGGAGATGAACATCACATGATCCAAAACAATCAAGGTGGACACATCTCCCACCCTGTAAACACCCATTCGTCCCCCACCCCCTTCCGTCCTGGAGTCTCTGTACCTCACACACATAAATTGCTCAATTATCTCAAAATCCTTTTACAAATAACTATCCAGGGTGAGCCCTGAAATGCAGTGGAGGAGGCTACCTTCATGTGCCCACCATGCACACCCTGCTATAGCCTCAACCATCAGTGTTTGTCTTTGCCAGACTGGCACAGAACCACATCTTCTTCTGAATCACATTGACTACAAGGCTGTCCTTCGAAACCTAATCCCCAATTAAGGTTTAGAAGGGTACCTAGGGTGTCTTCTGTTCTGTGCCAAAAGCTATGCAGGAGGCAAAGTTAATATATTCTACAGGACGGAATATGAGTAAACTTAAACTTGGGGGGCTTTCCAAGGCTTGGGAGTACTAAAACACAGAGTATTTGGGGAACACTCAATGAAAGAGCTGGGGCTTTGATTAAATTTTTAAGAAAGGGTTGGACCTAACTGGTCAAATGAAGGGAGAGCATCCTGAGTAAGTACAATGAAATGAACAAAACCTGTAGGAGAGTACAGGATGTATCACTGCATCTCAGAACAGGGTTGGGGAATTATGGGAAATAAGGTCAGGTGTGCAGGAGTATGTGTGTAGCCAGAATTTAGAGGGGCTTAAATATCAGGCAGAACCTGGGACACCATATGGCAGGACACACGGGGCTGTGACTGGAAGTTCGTGAGGAAGGAAAGGAACAAAGATGGAAACATTACTCAAGTCAGATTGGGCTGGCCATCCTCTCAAGAGAAATGGGACTTCATTTCATCTAGTTTTATAAGGTAGAATTATTTGGGGTGTAGAAAAGCTAATTCCATCTGGTCACTTGTTTTCCTCAATGCTTAGAAAGGATTGGGGCTAGGTATTGCATTCTAGCAGCTAATTAAAAGTTCCTGTCTCCTCATTCTCTCTGTCCCACCCTCCTCGTTTGGAGTATCAGAGGATTAGTGCATTCCTTTGTATAAGTCCACCAGTTCTGCAAACATAGACTTTTGGAGGCAGATACCACCACAGGGAACAGATGCTGGGATGCAGGGCAGCCTGACAATGTACTTCACCTACTCTGAGTGCTACTTTGAATAACACTTATCAACAGTGCCCTTAGGAACAGGAACAAGGGATTAGTAGTGTCAGGAGAAAGAATTAACATTCAGGCTCCTGTGTGACACAGGTGTACATCCATCCCCCTCATCCCAAAGAAAGTTCTAGCCTAAAAAGGGGGAATACGTGTAACAACAAAAAGGCAATTGTATACACTAAAGTCAACATTCCCTACCGAGAATTAAGATTTTTCCACAGTTTTAACCATTCCCAAATGTTTTCCTAAGCAGTAAATTAGTCCTTCTAAGTATGTATTAATGTACAGTAAAATTTGGGCTAACCGATATACCCTGGAGAAATGGCCTTTTCTGGATAGTCAGATTTGCTGGACAGCTAAAAGTTTATTCCTTTAAAGTCACAGATTGGTAAGACTTCCCTACATGTCCCAGTCTCCTTTTATAAGGGAGCAGACAGGACTGGAGGGGAAGGTGGCCTGAGAAGCATAGGATCATAGAAATCTTAGAGTTGGAAGCGACCTGAGAGATCACTGAGTGTTGCTCTCACATTTGATAGACAAGAAAACCAAAGCCAAAGCCAAAGTGATATAAGCAACTAGCTGACAGTCACCACACAACAGTGGATTCCAGTACCATACCTTATGAAGCATTTCTGATGAAAAGATTTCCCAGATGTATCACGTTTCCCTGCCAGATGACAAGAAACTCTAATCTTAGGCACTAGTTAATTTCTACTTTAGTTTTAGTTGGGTTCCACATTGATGAGACTGCAAAATGGCTAGATTTTAAAGAGGTAAAATGTATGCAAGTGAGTATGAAATGAAAAATCACAGAATAGCCCATGACATTTGTTGAATATTATGCTTAAGAGGAGACAATGTCCTAGTAAAAAGAAATGTAGAAAGCTAAGGGATCAAAAAATAGTTACTGAGCACCTACTATGTGCCAGGGATTATTCTGGAATGCGTTTGAATTTAGGTAGCAAGGCAAGTTAAGAATTTCTATATTAGAATACAAAACCTTTTCTACAAAATACAAAGCAATTCCAAAGTTATATAGGACTTTAGGAAATGAGCAAAAAATTTAGACCCAAGGTAGTTATATTCAGAAAACACTTTTTTTTTTCAAAGAAGTCCTTTCTCATTCTTTTAAAAAATAACTCTAGGAAGTGGCTCACTGTATTCTTAGCTCAATTGTAAGTCAAATCATTTATGCAATAGACCTTATAGTACCCTTCCCTAAAATAGGCTGGTGGAGGCTCAAGTTTTAAAAAGAGACCAAATTAAATGACACAGTAGAGTTTTATTAAGGGAAATTATGATGCTGGGTTTGGCAGAGTTCTTCCATTTCATTATTTGGCTAAGTGCTGGCTCATGCTCTATACATGATTTGTTGTGTAACTACTAAAAATGATCACAAGGAACTCAGCTATAACGTGCTATGAAAACACTAAATAATACCAGAACTGAAAAGAGAGATGAAGNAAAAAAAAAAAAAAAAATGGAGAAAGGACACATAAAATATCAAACTTAGAAAAAAAAATTTGTCTTTTGTCTCATAATCACTAGTCAGACCACCATGTACTATTTCACATGAAAGGAACTCAGAATCTGGAAAGCAAATCTGTTGGAGTGGGATGAGGCCCTAACATAAAGGGAAGAGTTTAAAAACAGTCATGAGACCTAAAGAAGCAGGTTTCCCTGCAAAGTCTCAGCCCCCTAGAAAAAACAGTAATAATGCTAGCAATACCCAGGCCTTTGGGCCCCACCCTTGCTGACCTGCCCAGGTTCACAATGGTGGGCCCAGAGTACCAAGGACTCTGCACTACCCTAGTGGGTAAATAAAATGGCTGCCTCTCTTTTGGAGTCGTAAGGGCAACTTAGTAAGAAGCAATGTAAGTTGGTGTAAGAGCCAAAAGTTTGCCACCAGCAGGTAAGAAAAAGCTACACAGCATATGGCAAATGTTGAATAGCTGTTATCAAAAATGCTTGGGACAAGAAGTGTTTGGAATTTCTTTTTTTGATTTTGTGATATTTGCATTCTACTTACTGGTTTGAGCATCCCTAAACCAAACACCCAAAACCTGAAGTGCTCCAATGAGCATTTAAGCATCATGGTGGTGTGTTCAAAAAGTTTCTGATTTACAGCATTTCCAATCTTAAATTTTCAGATTTGGCATGTTCAATCTGCAACTTCAATTTAAGCTCTCTCATGGAGCTTCTGGTGAAAGTCCAAGATCTCCTGGATCCAGTGGCAGCACTTACTGTCACACAGTGATATACCAGGCACTGCTGAGGGCTCTTTCATAAGCTCTCAGTGGTCTCTCCACAGTGTTAGGGGCAAACCTTTCACCCTTTAGTAAATATAACAGTGGACTAAGTCAGACTTTGTTCTCGGGCTTTATTCGTTTTGAATACAAATTCAAGTTCATTCACATTCTACTCCCTGGTAACCCTCAAAATCAATTACTTCTTTTGAGTCTTCAAAAACTTATTTGCTGAAGTAGGTTTACTCCGCAAGACCCAGAACCAAGCAGTAGATCATGCCACACAGGGATTAACAAAGAGGTCTCCCTTTAATCCTCAGTTATGTATTTATTCTCCATGGCATGACATGCCGTGCCGTGCCACTTAAATTATTCAATTTGATTTTTACCTTGGGGCACAGCTGTTGACTAACATTTGATATGTTTTTTTCTTTTATTTAGAAGGGTTGGTTGAGCCTAGATATTAGTAAGTTGCAGAATCCTTGGGGCCAGGGTAAAAGCAGGGGTAGGAGTTATGACTGCTTTTTATGGAAGTCACATTTTTCAGATCTCTCTTAGTGATTTAATAGTTATTTCTTAAAATCATATAAAGAAATGGGAAAAGAAAAGCTATACATTCCTCCCCTTTCCCCTTTAAACAAAAGGAATGGTTTAATGATCTCTTAAAGAAAATACTTATTCAGCTTTTATGGTTTCATGGTCATGAGGGTTTTGATGTCAAGATTCAAGAGAAAATTTTTCTGTTCTATGACAGAGTTACTACTGATAGATTTTACTGGATTTTATTAGTTTCTATGACACAAACACAATATTTAGTATGTGCCAGGCTCTGTTCTAAGTTCTCTACATGTATTAACTTGTTTAAGCCTCAAAATAATCATACAACGTGAGTAGTATCATCTCATTTCACAGACAAGTAGGGCCCCAAAGAGATTAAGGGACTCACACAAGGTCTTCCCTTCCATGATATGTATCTAAATGGCTTCTTTTGAGTAACAGACTATAAGAACCTTGATGACAGTATATAAATCTAATCCTTTTGCCAGAGCTCCTAGACCTAGTACAGTATCTCCATGTACAACATACATTCCACTATGGAGCTGGATGTTTTCTAGTGACAATTTTCAGTTTTCAACATTTATTGACCAAATAAATCAATTTTTATGTTGGAGGGTAATTTAGGATTCAACTATTCAGATACTTGGATGAGATGACATATTGTTTAGTAAAACAATAATGACTTACTGAGCCAGTGCTATGTCTTTACAACTATTCAAGGTGCCATGGGTGAGAAAATAGATATATATGTATATTAGTCATCAACCGTGCTCACAAAGAATTCAAAGTCTCAAGAAAACACTGTTGGACGTGGAGAGAACAAAAGTCACTTGA